AATAGTGTGGTTGAAAGCAATGACACCGTCCAATATTCTCTCTGGATTAAGAAGCAATCCCAGAATCTGCGTTTGCACCCAGCGTCGTAACAAGAATAGATGAAAATAAAAATGAATTTAATATAACTGAGCCAGCAAGTCCTATTTCCGGGCCAAGTGGCGTAAATTCATCAATAACCAAAAATATAAAACATACTGCTTACCTTCTTCACAGAAAGTGACAACGAACCACTAATTAAATTAATGTCTGCTTCTTCAGGGGATGTTACATAGAAAGAAGTATCTGGTGACGATTTGGATAAGTCGTTTAGTCGCATGGGCTTTCTGGTTACTCCTGAGATAAAAGTTGCATCGTCACAAAGAAAGCCTGCTATTAATTCAAGGACCCAAGAAATAACGAGAGATTTAATTAGTTCTCAGCCAAAAAATGCTCCAAAAAAATTAATTCTTACAATTCTGTATTATGTTTCTATTTTTGAATCGTTTGTAAGTCTTTAACATGAATCCTGATTTGTGAAAGCAGATTCAGCTAATTTAAAAAAGTCCAAAAACGTCAAATAAGACTCGACAGTTAGAACACAAATACAAACCACTGAAGTAATTTACGCATTATAAGAAGAAAACAAATTATTTCAAAATATTTGGCACCGTTGTGTAGTTATCCTATTGGGTGAATTTAGGCGGAAAATTTCATCAAAAATGGTTTTTCAATTAAAATTTTCTGCTTAATTAAGAGGATAAATTAATGTTTTCTTGTTAAAATAAACACCATTATTAAATTGTTTCGACGTAAATAAGATTAAAAATTCCGATGCGTTGTTATAGTACACTGTTAAATTTTTAGATAATTTTCAGATTATTTCAAAAAATTAGTATGAAATAAGAGAGGGTAAAGCAACGGAAGATGATATATAACAAAATCCGTCTATGAAGCTATAGATTCAAAAACACCAACATTATACGGTATCGCCTAATTTACTACTTTAAAAACCTTAAATGGTATGGATTCCGGGACAAAATTTTCGACGTATAATAAGATATTTAAATGATCGAAATCAATAGGTTTATCTTGAAGGTGTCACCATTGATAAGAGAGCTGTAACGTTTAGTGTTCCGCAAGTTACTGTTCTTGGACCTTTCGTTTTCACTATATATGTAAATAGTTTATTGATAATAAATATGAAAGGTGTCATTACAAGTTTTGCTGATGACAGCGCAATATTCTAAAGTAGAGACACTTGGGAAAACTAAAAGTTATGGTAGAAGCTGATTTTTCTATTATAACAAAATGGGTTGCATGCAACAAGCTCACTCTGCATGTATAAAAGGCCAGTTATATGCCTTTTACCTCCTATTTAAGTAAATTGCCTACTCTAGGGGTTTTCCATATTTGGCAATCATTATTACCTGGCCTACTTTCCAGGCATCTAGTACATGTTTTAATCAAATTGCTTAATTTATTAGGTAAGCGACTTAACCCGTGCTTTTTTAGGTAGCTTCATAAGAATTTTTCCGGTTATAAGATCGTAACCGGGGATTTTTTTAATTTATGTCGTTCCTAATTTCATTTGCTAGTTTTTTTGGATTGATACCTTCATACGAGAGTAATTCTTGTATGCTATTATTTTCGTTTTGCTGAAAAGATTGTTCCAAGTGATTTGAGTATGTCTCTTGATTTAACTTGGCACATGTTCCATTTGCAGTTCTGATTGGTGAGCTGCAGTGGCGTGCCGTGACATTTTTGGAAGAGGAAGGGATTGTATAAAAATACAGCAGGCAAAAATACACATCGCTGCAGAAGAAAATTTTTCGCGGCGCATTCACCATTTTGTTAAAATCTTGCTTTTTTCCTTAGTACTACGGATATTCGAGATTGAAATTTTTGAAGTATTACTATTTCTTTATTACCTATAAAAAACTTACCATTGAAAAGCTTCCTTGGTTTATTTAAACGTAAAAAAAACATTTAACTGAAGTTTTTTTTTATTTTTTCCAGCATTTTTCGCACAATTGATACAGCAGTTGATATTTATTTATACTTAAGATCTATTCGCCTATCATTAATGGCTGCAAATTTGCCAATAACATCGTAAAATTTTAAATTTTCTGATAACTGTTTAACAAGCTCTTTTTCAATGGATATTGGCGCTTAATTAGAGAGTCTGTCTTCACTTGTTGAATTTCGTATAAAACTTTTAATGCGCTTTGAAGCTGAAAAACTTCGCTCAACTGACGCACTTGTGGCTGGGATGGTTAGTGCTAATTCATACAACTTGACGACTTCACAAAGGGACTTATTTAAACCAGTTGTTATAAGAAAATTTAACACATTGATGGGCGTCTTTTTATCACTAATTTCAGCTGTTTCATAAACAACACTTAACTGGGACTTTAATGCTGGAATATAAAAAAAAATCCATAATTTAATTTTGGTGAATTAAAAGCTTCCGATGGAAATTTTGATGAATCGTAGTTACTAATATTAAAATTGCACAATTCAACAAATTTTAATTCGTTAAAGTTTTGAAATCGAGAGTTCATTTGTTGTAAAATATTATCAGAAATTTCGGCGTATAATCTACGATAGGAGGTCTCTCTGTCGCCGACATTATCAATTCTAATGCTCTTTCTTTCAGGTTCTGAGCGAATGTTTTAAGTTTTATTCCAAAAGTGTTCAAACTGATCTCGTTTTTTATTAATTTTATTTTTAAAATCATCAATTTGGTTAATGCAAAAGCCAATGTCGTTTGCCTTTCTCTGTAAAATGTCGAATAAAATGTCAGTAAAAGGGAAAATCTCTGCAAAAATGTTGAGCAAAAAAAAGAAGAAAGCCAAACCACTAAGCGTCGAAAAGAAAACTTTGCAATCTTTAATATTATCCATGCTTCGCGATAAAACCAAATTAAGTCTATGTGCTATATAATGAACGAAAATTGCGAGTTTAAAATTCTCTTTCACTTTAGTTTGAAGGCCTCCTAAATGGCCAGCCATTACGGCAGCACCATCGTAGTTCTGGGCAACAAGCTTAGAACCACATTCTAAACTTAAAATAATTTCACAAACAATTTTAAACAATGCATCTACAGTTCGGTCGGTAGTGACGTCTAAAAATCCTGAGAATTGCTCTTGAGAAATGCCATCCAATACATATCGCACAACAATGGATAATTGACTTAAGTTTGCTACATCTGTGGTTTTATCAAGCGCAATAATTGATACGAAAGGTGCTTTTTTAATTTAACTTTTAATGTGATCCATCACAACGTCGGCAGTGCATTGAATTAAATCATTTTGGATTTTGTTTGAGGTACCTCGAAAAGTCGTCGATTCAATAAAATGATTTTTTAGGGTATCATCGTATTTTGCTAAAAAACTTAGAAGGTCCATGTAATTTGCTCGATTGACGGATCCACTTGCTTCATTGTAATCCCTAAAACTTAGTTCATGTTCTCCCAGGAAACAAGTTACATCTATTAATCGTTGTGAGACGTCCCTATTTTTTTTCACCCTTTCATTGTGAATTTTGTTGCTTATTTTTAAATGATTGTCCAAAATATGTTCAATGCGATAGGTCCCAAATGTATTTTCTTTAATTGTAGCACTTATATGAGATTTACTATTTACATGTCGTTTTACACTTTTGTAAAAATTATTCAAGTCTGTAATACCGACTGAGTTCCAATTTTTTCTCTGCTATATTAAAAAGTAGGCAAGGCCAGCAAAACAATTCCTTCAAAGTTTTGCAGCCGGTTAACTATTCATACTTTTCATAGAACCCTACGTGAAAATGGCTGGTAAAATTCTTTGCTAACTTTTCTACTTTCGTCTCTAAATTGATAGGATCCTTTAGTCTAATAGAATTAATAATGTCCGTTTTCTCTTCAAAATTTCTACTTGAAAATCCTTTTTTAATAAAGAGCACACAATACAGACACAATTTACCCCATTATTATTGTTTACAGACACAGTGCATAGTTCCTCCATTTTACAAAACAATTACAAAAAACAAACCAAAATCTATCTGAAGTCTACGATTTTCATCACACGTCGAATCGCGGTGCGAATTGCAATATGCGTAAGGCGACGTAAAAATCGCTGCCTGTCGACCGTATTTCACGTGCCCAAACAGGCTGACTACTGTCGCGGCAAACCAAGGTCAATAACACGAAGCGAAAACAATTGGAAGATGAGTCGGCTTTTTTAAGACGTGCTTCCACAATTAATTTTCTCATGGGTGGTGCGTGCGTTTACACATTACACCAATGAATTGTTAGTACATTTGTGAAGTTAACGTAATGTTTCAGAGAAAATATAGTACCTAATTTAATATTAACTTCTATGCATTGTAAACTGAAAAATATTTATTTTTAAATCTCAAAGTGTAGGGAAGCGGTGCTTCCCCCTCTTCCATGGACTGCACGTTCCTGGCTGTATGGTTACTTTCTAGAGGGAAAAATTAGTTTCATAATAATCCAAAATTTGAAATAATATCACTGAAAATTTCATTTTAGCCGTATATAAAAACCTTTCAATATTCGTTCTATTATTCGGAAAGCATGAAAAATGGTGTTTCCGAGTGATTATCCATTATTTTTTAATTCGATTTTAAATAATAAATGACAAATCGAAGTTCTATTTTAAGCTATAGCTAACCTTATCCATTACGATGGAAATACGAATGTATTCTTTTATTTAAAACAATAAAAGGCAGTTTTAATCGATATTCTATTCTTAATTTATCAAAAATACATGAATATATACGCCCAAACACACACACACAACACACATTCGGAAAAAACCCGGGTGACTCTTACATATACATGAAATTTTATATGGATGGAGTAAATCTCTTTAGAGATTTGAGAATCACGTATTGTTATTCTGGCCTCATTCGATATTTTCAACGTGCTTATACAAATATGACGATTTCCATCTATCATTTTACGTCTCCGCATATTCTACGGTTTATTGTAATCTCAACATTTCTTTTTATATTTCAGAGGTACAAGTGGTATCGACATCGACTTAAGACGAGTTGACATCGACCAGTGCCCTTTGCCAAAGGATGAAACTCAACTGAATATATTTGCGGCATCTGATAAATGCAAAAGAGCAACCACGCAGGTATGTTTCCATCAGCATTCTATTATTCGAAATACGTTAGCAACTCATCTCCTACAACTATATTTTTATTTTAATTTTATCTTACACTCAAAAAAATTTATTAGTAAATTCAGTGAAAAAAATGTGCCGATAATAATAATAATAATAAAAACATTATAGGTTAATATAATGTTCTGGTAAATTTATAGAAAAAGTTTTATTAGTTTCTCACTTTCAAGAAAACCTAGTAAATATAATGATTTCTCTTTTACTATAATACAATAATTCTTTGGCTGATAGTATAATTATTAAATATTATAGTCCAAGAGCTAGTAACACAAATTTCATTAAGTGTTTGATGCACTTTGAAATTTTGTAATTTGAAATCATTTGGATGAAAAAGCAGATATACCTGTGTTGGCTAGACCCACCCCGGGACACCTGGTACTGCGCATAATAGAAAGGGGTCGTAAAATATGACCCAAAAAAAGTGTTTGATTCAGAGGCCAACAAACAACAATTGAAAGTTTAGGTAATTCTAAAAATACTAGTAATTTAGGCAGACACTTTTGAGAGGGTTTATAATTATTAAATCAACCCCAAAGTTGTTATTTTGTTTAAATATGATTTGCAGTGTTTGATTCACGTTGAAATTTTATTAGCGTCTTAATTAAATATAAAAAAATTAATTCCACAAAGGCAGACACTTTTTCCGGGGTTTATTTGCCGGCCAACATAAAAATAAGTCTTATTTACTATAGAAAGAGATAGGTTGCGTATGGCTGTAGATGTGCGTAAGAGCGCTGATCACCGCCGTTACTACAGACTTTCTTTACGCTCTCATTGGCTATTGGTTACGTGTCTTTTTACAGCTGTATATTTTAAATTCATATTTCGGAGTATAATAAAAAAATGCATTTATTTAGATGACTTATATTTAAACTTTTAATCTCTCAAGTAATAATGATAAAAATCAATAATAAAAAATTTGAACTTAAAGTTTTTCGAAAAAAAAAAAGGAGACTGTGAGGTTATCATTAAACGTCCCACTAATAGTATGTATGGCAAATATCATTGGTTTATTGTTTTTAAAAATATTTGTTACAAGTATAATTTATAAAAATATCTAGAAAAGTATCTTTAATCTTCATCCTCATCACCACCATCCTCTGATAGTTCTTCTGTCGAGTCATCATTTGAAAACACGTCTTCATCATAAGAAGTCCGTTCGTTATCTGAAAAAAACCAAACATAATTAACATAATGACATATGTAGGAAAAGAAAATAATTATAAAATACAAACCTTCGTTGTTAAAATTGTTTTCGGTACTTGAACCAGTTTTAATAGCATCTAAAACAGTTTTTGGCATATAATTACCCTCAAACCATTTAAACTCATATCTGTCATCTTTTAGAGTTCAACCTTGTCTTTCAGGTAACAAAGATGGAGTACACAGGTGAACGTTTCGCCAAATATACTTGTAATATATTGAGTCCGTAAAAGGTAATTATTTAAATTCAGACAGGTATCAAAAGAAAACTTTAAAATATGTGTTCCAAAACGCAGGTTAACAAAAAATAGAGGACTTCTATATAAGGGAAGTGCAACTAACTTGACAAATTTTTTTTGACACTAATGACATTAAAAATTGGGTCACATAAAGAGGCTGTTTTTTTGTTAAATTTTTGATTTTTCTCATCTACTTTTATGTCGTTTAGATACGTAAAAAAGACTTTTTATTTTAGATTATTTTACATTTAAAGGTTGAAAACACTTGTCACTATCAGCTGTGGATAATGTCAAAACATAATCGTAGCATTGCATTTTATTTTTTGTTGTTAATAGTCTATTTGTGTTTCTCCCGTTTTATGAAACATTTTTTTTTCATTTCGTTTGATTTATTTATGTCGATTGCAATATGCTGCTGCTACGAATACAAGTTCTATACAATATACAACCAACATACAATACTAGTTACATTATGTCCATCTATGATTACGCCTGTGCTCTACCAACAACATAATTGACAGCTGACAATGACAAAATGTTTCAACCTTTAAATGTAAAATATCTTAAACTAAAAAGTCTTTTTCACGTTACGGGTACAACAAGGTATGCAGATAGCATGAAAGTAGATAGGAAAAACCACAAAGCAAACTAAAAAACAGCCTATTTATGTGACCCGATTTCTTATATCATTAGTGTCAATTTTATTTTGTCAAGTTGGCTGCACTTAACTTGTATAGAAGTACTCTATTGAGATGAACGGCCGATACAGCTGTAGAAAGAGTGTAGTAACGGCGGTAATCAGCGCTCTCACTCACACTTACAGCCATACGCAGTCTATCTCTTTCTATAGTAAATAAGACTTACTTTTATGTTGGCCGGCAATTAAACACCGGAAAAAAAGTAATTTTTTTATATTTAATTAAGAAGCTATTAAAATTTCAGCGTGAATCAAACACTTCAAATCATATTTAAAAAAAATCAACTTTGGGATTAATTTATTAATTGTAAACCCTCTCAAAAGTGTCTGCCAAAATTACTAGTATTTTTAGAATTACCTAAACTGTGAATTGTTGTTTGTTGGCCTCTGAATTAAACATTTTTTTTGGGTCATATTTTAAGACCCCTTTCTATTATGCGCAGTACTTGGTGACCCGGGGTGGGTCTAGCCAACACAGGTATATCTGCTTTTCCATCTAAATGATTTCAAATTACAAAATTTTAAAGTGCATTAAACACCTAATGAAATTTTTGTTACTAGCTCTCCGACTATTAGAAAATATACTGATTATCATAACAATAATCTGTGACTACATTTGTGTAACATGAATAATTAATTATACAGATTTATCCACTATTATGTCAATAATGTTTTTTTTGCATCTATAAAAATTTGATATTATTATTTATTTTTATTAAATGTACAGAAAATAATGATGTTCATAATATTACGTTTATGTGACACAAAAAGTGTAACTATTAAATTTACAGGTCATACCAATAGTTCGATAAAATAGGTAATCACATTGAATTTAGGCTAAGCTTCACCTCTCTGATAATGTCAATTTTTGTTTTCTTTCTTCGAAAACCTATATTTTAACCATTTTTATAACCATTACCATATCAATTAACAATAGCCTTACAATGTACTTTTTACAACGTTTACTCTGTATTCACATTTACTGCTACTAGAATTTAGAAGCTACTAGTTACTACAGATAGTGCTAAAAAGAAGAAAAATCACAATCATACCAACTACCAAAACCGTTGAAGTAGAAGAATGGATAACATAATAGTTTTTATTTGTTTAACACTACTTTTGTCAAGTTTACAGTTGGCGTTTACTATGATTTAGATTTTCGTAACATTTCTGATTTAATATCAGTACAGTTTTAAGTATTAATACTACATTATTTATTTTATTTTAAAAGTATATTTTTTTATGACAATATTTTTTCGTAATAGATAATCATTTGTTGTAATATTAGGAAAGCCAAAAAAAATTCCTTGAAGAAACTCTGTGACGGCATTGAAAGCCTTCCAGAATGTTTCAGATTCAGGAAGAGAGATAAAAGAGATAAGAGAGATAAGCAAGGATGCTCAACAAGTAAAACTCACAAACACAAAGGTTATACTTCCCTGGATGAGAGATTATCTTTGACCAAGAGAACACTAGTATAGAGCCACTAGTTTCTAAGGCCTCAAAAAGGAACTGGTCTCTTGCAAACACAATTGTAAACAGTACAAAACGTGTATGGGCAATAAATTTATTTCAACCATACAAAATGGCTTGACCTAATGGTATGATTCCGGCACTTTTACGAAAGGGTCAGGAAGTACTGGAGGGGACCACTGTGTAAACTATTCCGAGCTAGCATAGTTATCGGATATGCTCCACAAAGCTGGAGGTCTGCATAAGTTTTCTTCATTCCCAAACCTGGGAAAGCGTCTTACGCGGAGACCAAATATTTCAGACCAATCAGCCTAACATCATTTCTCCTAAAAACATTGGAGAAATTGATCGATAGATCGATGTTCTACAGGATAAATCAATACATCGATACCAGTTTGCATACCAATCTGCGATGCAGCCATACAAAGGCTAATAGCACTAGGACTTTTCCTTACCTTTAATTCGCCTCATAAAATTAAATACTGGGATCTATGCAAAGGCGTGGCGTAAAACACTGCTATACGTGGGTTGAGTTTATGCCTAATCGTAGAACCATTACCAATAATCTCATTAACATCACAAGAGAGGTCTCAGCTAACAAAGAATGCCCGCATGGAGCAGTTTTAAGAAAACTTCTACACGCATTTGCAGACGATTTAAGCATCGTAGTAAACGGTAAATTTGGGGCTGTTTTTCCGAAAGGATGTAGCAGGCACTAAATATCGTCTAACCTAACCTAACCTAACCTATCCTAACCTATCCTAACCTAACCTAACCTAACCTAACCTAACCTAACCTAACCTAACCTAACCTAACCTAACCTAACCTAACCTAACCTAACCTAACCTAACCTAACCTAACCTAACCTAACCTAACCTAACCTAACCTAACCTAACCTAACCTAACCTAACCTAACCTAACCTAACCTAACCTAACCTAACCTAACCTAACCTAACCTAACCTAACCTAACCTAACCTAACCTAACCTAACCTAACCTAACCTAACCTAACCTAACCTAACCTAACCTAACCTAACCTAACCTAACCTAACCTAACCTAACCTAACCTAACCTAACCTAACCTAACCTAACCTAACCTAACCTAACCTAACCTAACCTAACCTAACCTAACCTAACCTAACCTAACCTAACCTAACCTAACCTAACCTAACCTAACCTAACCTAACCTAACCTAACCTAACCTAACCTAACCTAACCTAACCTAACCTAACCTAACCTAACCTAACCTAACCTAACCTAACCTAACCTCTGTTGTTACATTCACAAAGGAACCTTCAAGGAATAAAGAAGCTTTATATGTGGGGACATCATCTTAAACTG